GAACTATTTTTGTAGCTTTGCTCCTCAATGCTTGGCAGATAAAGGCATTAATTCAACACAGCCCCTTGAAACCTGACAGACAGTGTTTTGAGAGGAGCTGAGCCTATATACCTATGTAAATGTGGTAATGTATGGTGTGGGTGACCTTCACCTTGCCGATCTGACAGGATGAGTCATGCCTTGCCTTTCAGGTTAGCTGTATACTCACAACACCAGTCATGTAGATTTTACAAAAAACTGTGTCAGTGATCTACACAAAGAGATAGGGCCCAACTACCATCTGATAAGACCCACGATTATCACATTACAAGTCGATCTGCATAATATGTAAAATTTGAGGGGTGTACAATTTGTCTGCCTCTAGTTCAGGCCTCCACCAACCTTGGCTCAACAAAAACTAACTTCAAGATGGTACATACATGCTTTCAGGCTTATTTCATCTTAACAGTAAACAGTTCCCACAATCAAATAGGCCGTCCATGAAAGTCATGCCTGGTAAAATTTTCCCATCGAATAATTACATCTATTTTGACATGATCAGGTGGGCTGAATCATAAATCATGTTAGAGGCATTAAGTTTGGTTCTAAATGTGTAAGTTTATGGCCGTGTACCAAGTCTGGAGGTATTACCGGGGTATTACTGAGCCCCACTTATAGGCCTGCTCAGCATTACATCAAGTGGACATGAACAGGCATCCAGTTTGTGTAAATCAGGAAAAACATCAACAGATAGGTTTATAGGGTTCTGTACAAAGTCTTTACCATCTGCTGTTGGTTTGAGGAGTATTTTGAAAAATAAAAGACAAAATAGCCATCTCAAAACAGCAATATCTGACTGACAAAAATACCCATCACCAAATGGTAACTTATGTCATATTTTCATAACAGCTATCACATCATTGAATACAATTTCTTTCTCAATAAAGAAAAAAGATATTCCAAGATCATCTTCAATATACATTAAAGGTTACTACTACAAGTCCAGCATTGATTTTTACACCAGGGACGATGTCCACATTTTTAATGATATCTAACCTTCTACAACTTAGAAATGATTATCTCGGGGTAAAGCGCTGACCTTCCTTGAAAGCCTTGTAAGTCTACGTCCACAAGTCATGACCATTAGGACAAGGCCACTTCATCATAAATCTGTCCATTATGGTTGTGGACCAGCTATTTTTACATGCCATCATGTGACTTATTGAGTCTACGCCTAACACAGAATTACGCAAATGTATCTAGTTCACCAGACAGGGTCACCAATAACTAAGTTGACACAGCTTTTTCTCCTTGCAAGGGTTCTCCCTATTTCTGATACTGACAGAATGATTAGATACATAGCCAAGAAACACAGTATGTATACTACCCGACTGCCTTGTTTATTTCCAAACGACATACGTACATTAATATAATATTTCAGTAGAGTTGCCCGTTTTGCCTCTATTCATTGTGACATTGTCCATTTCATGTTGCTTTGCCCAGCCTTCCCATTGAACATGTGGCCTGCTTTCACCACCTCTCTATCCTGCCATTGTCCTGGGTGTATATATAGATGTGATTCTAAACCTTTACCTGGCCTACCTAGTCACACAAACACCTCCACCACATTGTGCAGATTAGCAAATATATTTTCATACATAACAATGGTCCAAGTGAAAATGAATTTTGCACAGCCAACTGAAAACAATCCAGATCAATAACGTAGTCCATACATAGAAGGGAGATTATTTATTTTTGGAATGTTGTATTAGTGAGGTGACCTCTCATGGTGAATCACTTGTAAGGGAACTGTTAATGTTCACAGTGCCCAAACTGTACTTATGCTCCAGGCACCCTGTCTTATTTTTGCAGGAACATGTTATGATCTTGCATGAATTTGACAAAGTGCTTTTCAGTAATATAGCTGGACGTATCCTAAATTACTACCTGTTGTGGGTACCAGGTCAACATGAGCCTTCACACTGTTTTGGGGGGTAAATAAGTACATCTGTACTGACCACCATCCTAGCTCTCTGCAGCTGATTACAAGCCAACAGTCCTTGGGCATTCCTGGACAGTGTATCTAGGTCATGGTTCCTTGGCAGTGGTTACAAACCAATGACCTGTAGGTGCACTGGTGGGATATCTGATGGCCTTGAGTAACTCCACTTGTATCTAGATCTGGTAATGGACTCAGGGGCAGCTGACATAATTACAAGTCTCTGCTGCCCAGGGCAGGCTAACTCCCGAGGGGTCCATACCATTACAAACATATAACAGCTGCCCGCTTTATTATTGTTCAAGGTCAAGGTCAGTCTGTGCCAGCTGTAGTATAAATACAGAGGAAGGAAAATTTCTTCTGGAAAATAAGTTAAGTGTTCTTTCCACCTAATGACAACATATCAACAAATTGTCCAAACTTTTGGTATCTTCATGGTAGCATTGTTTTGTACAAGTGGATACATGTTTCAACATTACAGATATTCTCAAATATAACCTGAAAACCAATATTACATCGAACATTTTTGTTTGTTTCCATAGTGCATGCATGCTCAATTGGTAATGCTGAAATCTAAGCTTTTATCGAGCTGTTGTCATGGTGATTGATCGGTACTACTTGAGAAATATGAGCAGTAGGATTTATTAGGTGTCAGGTTGATGTTATTAGATAGGGTACACTACACTTGATATTTGTGCTGTTTATACCTTGATATATATATATCAGTATTTTTAGTGCCATAAATACTTTACACATTCAATATTTAAGGGTAAACATAACAAAGTACACTCTCACACCGATGGCTGATCAACTAATACTATAGGAACTGTACAAAGGACATCTGATAACAATGGCTAACAAGGCATGGTGTTCCTTGCCACACGTTTGGATCAACAAAAGGTCTTTTATAAAGGCTATAATATAAGGGGCCAGTTTTATTTGATATTACAAAAAGGGGTCAGTTGTTGATGTCACTATGAGGGGTGTTGCCCAGAACATCATAAAGAAGGGGGGGGGGGGGGGGGGGGGGGGGTCATTGTACATGACACCACATAAAAGTGTCTTCATGTTGTACAGGACACTTGAGATGACGTCAGCTGTTAAAGATGTCCAAGAAAAGGGGCCTGTCTATTATCAAACAATGGAGAAGAGGCCTACAGTCGTACACAACATCACGAGAAGGTCAGGCCTACAGTCGCTTGTCAGGCCTACAGTGGTGCACAACATCACGACAAGGCCAATTTACATCAACACCACAGAGTAGGGGTAATTTTGTTCATGACAATACAGGAGGGGGTTAGTTGTACACGACATCACCAAGACAGGGTCAGTTGTACTGGACACCACAGAGAAGGAACCAGTTGTATATGAAACCAAAGAATGAGTCAGCTCTACTTGATTCAACAAAGGGGTCAGTTGTTATGAATGGAACCAGAAAAAGGGTGTTGTCATCACAAAGAAGGGGTTAGTTGTTATGAATGGCACCAGAAAAAGAATGTTGTCATCACAAAGGGGTTAGTTGTACATGACACATCGGGAAAGTGTTCACATGTACAAGATATTGCAAAAATTATGTCGGTTGTACATGACATGAGAAGGGGCCATATGACAGGAAAGTAGGAACGTAGGTACACAGATCAACATGTATAGAGTTTACAGTACGGTGTGACACTGGAAACAGGTGGCCCTTTGTGGGGGGGAGTTGGACCTAAGTTTTTACAACATTATATTGATACTTATTTGTTTTCTCTATCGTATTGATCTCGAACATGTATACATGTCTGTGTTTATTCATATAAACTCACTTTTATATTGATTTTGATTCTCTATATATTTGTCAACATAATGGCTTTGTAACATGTCTTATTGATCTTTTTGTGTTATTTTCCCTTGCTTGTAGTTTAATAAAGTATATATTTGTATCCCGGGGATCTATGGAGACTTTTTTGAACTGAAATACGTCAAAACACATGGTAGCAATACACAGATGGTATCAATAGAGGGCCTTACACTGGGGCTGGCATGTCCAGACAATCAGCTGGCATGTGTGTAAAGGTACCAAGTACAACCAGCCAGCGTGGTGTATTGTTCAGTACCGAGACACCAGGTAAACAAATTACTTAGGTGTATAAGTAAGCACCATGTGTGATATAAATCTCTTACAAATACCCAATGGTGGATGTTCGGGTGAGATAATTCTGGACACGCCACAGTCATCAGTTCATAGGTCATAATATAAATACTCAATCAATACCTATGTCAACGACATCTAGTAGTGGTCACAGATAGCAGTGGACAAATGGCTACAATATGACAACCGGGAAGATTGATTTTAAACACCGAGTTTTGGCTTTCATCGTTACAGTAAATACTTTAAAACAGGGTAATCTTCATATTTGAATGGAACAAGATTCGAAAAATTGCATAATCTAATGCAGTTTCAAAACAGTTCTTAAAAGACTAGATGGCCAAAAATATGGTGGGGTGAAACATTGGTGATTTTACTTACACTGGTAAAAATGTAATTAGAAAAGAAATCACCATGTACAAGTAACTGGTATAATTTGGCTACTGCTTGGTCAGGAATAGTGATATTCATAGTTTTGATAACGGTTTACTGAACCAAAAATTAACTATCAATAACTGAATCCTTTTCAAATGTATTTTAGTTCCTAGTTTTGGACTGACCTAATTCTAGTTCAGGGAGCTATTTCATACTAACATACCGAAATGATCTGTAACTTACATTAATATGCAGTGATAATAAAAGATAAAAGAACTGTTGTATGTTAATTTGTTTACATAATAACTTGAATATACAGTACACAGGTAACATTATACGGGCCTCTCTCTATTTTCATGTGTGGGCATAAAAAGAAAGATTACTACATCAAATTTTTTCCTAAAGAAATGTTGATATTAAATGTAAATTTCCAGATTTCAGATAATGTAATATTTACATACCTATACCGTCATACAATATAGAGGACAGATACAATGATAATAGAAGTAGGAGACTTACCGATGTGGACTGGAGGTCTTTATCCTTATTAGTTTGCCTTGTGCGTCTTGGCCCGATGCCCACTTCCACTCCACGTAATATAGAATCTACCACTGAAAATACACCACAGGATAGTGTCAACAATACAGTAGTCTATGTTATATAGAATGTTGTAAGGGAGTCCAGGTGGTAAGGCCAGTTACCTGGCTACACTACTGTTAATCACACTTGATAAGTCACTAACAAACCGGAGGTGGTTCGGATCAACTTAATGCTGTTCAGTAGAAGATGAAACGAATGTCAGGAGTGGTACATTAGGGTTGAAATGTATCCAAGTTGAATGTGAAATGCTCCAAAATGTAAGTGATATGAATCATCAGAGTGCAGGTGTAAGGCTGACCCAGCTAGACCACATCTAGGAGCTGACTTGCCACAGGCTGGGTGTTACAGATATAGTACAACATGGCAGGCACTGCCTAGGTATGTAGGTCACCACACAAACAACACTACCATCCACTAGCTTACTGTAATATTTCTCTGAAATAAAATCATCAACAACTGACAATCACATTGAGTGTTCAAACCAATGAAAAACCCACGATATTCTATCACAAACCTGAATTAACTTACCCTGACATTGATACAGTGATTCTCCATGAAAACAAAGACTACACCATAAAATTATGATGGTAGGCCACTATGATAGCCTGTTTAACCTCTATGGAAATAGGTAAGTAATAAACAGTAAGTTATAACTCCATCTGTACAACGGAAAACTCCCCAGTTTGGAGGCTGTTAATCAACACTCCATCCAGACAAGTACATAGAGCAGAAGATAGAAGCCAGCTACTTCCTGCTGGAGAGTAAGGGTGAAGGTGAGGGCTGAGTCAGATATGTTAGAGGCTGATGGCTGATGTGTCTAGTGGTGGTGGTGGTGGTGGTGGTACCAGCACTAATGACCTGTGACATGGTCTATCATTAGACCGACAGTGTGTCCAACACCAGACCAGCAAATCAATACTAAACCAGCAGGCAAGGGTAGAGGTGGAGACAAAGTCTTACCAACATGGACAATATAGATATCTGATAATCAGTATTGAGGTAAAACAAACTATACAGCACAATTCTAATACATAATAGAGGTGAATGTCCCGATACCCTAAGTCCATAATGAATGTACAGCATGATACACAGAAAAGAAACAACCGAGGTATATTATGAGATCAGATGCAGGTGCTCAACATAACATTTGTACTTCATACCATTCTGGAATGTTGTGATCCAATGTGAATCAATAGGAAGGATACAACAAAACCAATTTTGAGTTCCTCACTCTCCCTTTTCTCAAATTAAGTTGAATGTCAGAAGACCTTACCTTGTTTTTGAAACGCAAATTTTTATTCATTTGGGTGTGCTGATGTTATGCATAGTTAACCAATTAACCAAGTACACCTTATGTTTGATAAAACAAAAAGAAACATATGATCAATGCGCTATACTCATTCCCAGATCAGTGTCTTGAATAAGGGATCACATGGTTTGATTTTTGATACCGAGGTATTTGTGTACGATACTGTACAATGGGTAATTTTCATAGTAGTGTTATATTAATGTTTTTTGCAGAAGGATTCAATTATGAATTCAACAATGTAGCAACGATTCCCATTTCAGACATTCGAATCTTGTTGGACACCAAAGACAAACAGAAATAGAAAGTATATAACATATATACAGTTTGATTGACAAATTTCCTCATGAATTAAATGGCAACTGAAATTGCTTTTCATTTACGCTATAATCAGAGTTTACTGTTAAAATGTTGATACCAACACATCAAAATAATTCAGTTTTAAAATACAACAGCAGTATTTCAGTATAGTAAACAAAGTGTCTGTGAATCATACATGTGGGGCCCCCACCTTCCTTTTCACTTTGATGGAAATGGAGCGGAGCACAAAATCTAAATCACAGAAATGGAACTTCAGGTAAAGTCTAAGCAAATCTAGTAAATTAGGAAATTGAGGTCACAGTGACCTACATATCACATATTTGTGCAGCAGGATGTAGTTACCTATGCCATTTGATGACTGTTGGGACTGTTAGTATTGGAGTAATGGAACTTAGCACCAAGTCTAATACCAATGTTGTATGGTCTGAGGAAGTGATTAATGTCCTGATCACTTCTTTATGGGGCATTAAAACGGGTCTCAAACAGTGACGATCCTTTACCTTTCTGTTGTCAATTACTGACACATAAAGTCCTCATTCATGACACATGCATAGCCAACACTCAAAATCAATGATGTTATTTAACTCCAATAGGGAATAGACTATCGAGACCTGAGGCACATTAAGTTTGATATCAATGTAATATTTATACTAACCCCTAAACCCACCAACAAGATCCCACACCAGTATTACATTGCAGGTGTTCGATGAGCCATCTATTCAAAATTGTATAACTATCACCAAGATAAGGTTTTAGATTATATCATTTCAATCTGGAGCTGTCAAATACAAGTCTGATAAAGCCAAAACGGGCACAGTGATGAGACAAAACTATACTAAATTACAGTACATCTGTGTGACAGTGTCAGCCACCTCCCTACCCGGCTCTACTCAGTAAATCAATATTAACTGATCAGGTTATGAATTCAGCTCTGTAATGAGACCTCCACTTCTCTACAATCACACCATTACATCACAATGTATCCAACAAGCTATTATCACACAATTTATTCCAATAGTTGTTAGCTGCGTTGTATGAAATCCATCCTCTCCCCCTCCGAACTTACAACAGCTATATCCTAGATCTAGAGTTCTATAAACTATTCCTTACAAAGCTAGTAAAGATCACCCTCCTTCCTTTCAATTTTGCACTGAATTTTGAAGGGACAAAATGTACATGTGTCAAAATAAAAATCTCTCCTCCATTAACACCAGCTGTGACCAGCTAATTACAAAATGAGGTATCAAATGAGCTGATAACGAGGACTGCTCACTACAGAAATACCACAAACAGGAAACAGGAAGGTGGTAACCATCCCCAGGAAGACGAAGCGGTAATGTATTAGAAGGAAGATCCTGTGTATAGACAGGAAAGGTCACTCAAAGGTAGTATGTGCACACAGCAACATAGATACTGGCCAATGAAAACACAATCGGTGATGTAAGTCTAGGTGCTGGTGAAGAGATCTTATACTAACGGCTACAGAGCAGGTGTAAAGCAATGAGATATCCACCAGCAGAAAGAAGCATAAAAAACACATAAAAGAAACAAGCAACAATGTATGCAAAGCTAGGTGACTACTAAGTAAAAGGACGAAACACCAAACACAATGTATGCAGAGCTAGGTCGCAGTCTTTAACTTTATTGCAGAGCAAGTTAGTGGTGTAATACTGGAAAGGACACCAAACACAATGTATTACACCAAACACAATGTATGCAGAGCTAGGGCGCAGTCTTAAACTGTATTGTAGAGCAAGTTAGAGGTGTTATACTGGAACTGACACCAAACACAATGTATGCAGAGCTAGGTCGCAGTCTTTGACTATATTGTAGAGCAAGTTAGTGGTGTTATACTGGAACTGACACCAAACACAAAGTATGCAGAGCTAGGTCACAGTGTAATACTGGAACTGACACCAAACACAAAGTATGCAGAGCTAGGTCGCAGTGTAATACTGGAACTGACACCAAACACAATTTATACAGAGCTAAGGCCGCAGTCTTTAACTGTATTGTAGATCAAGTTAGTGGTGTTATGCTGGAACTGACACCAAACCCAATGTATGCAGAGCTAGGACGCAGTCTTTAACTGTATTGTACAGCAAGTTAGTGGTGTTATGCTGGAACTGACACCAAACCCAAAGTATGCAGAGCTATGTCACAGTGTAATACTGGAAGTGACACCAAACACAAAGTTTTCAGAGCTAGGTCACAGTCTTTAACTATATTGCAGAGCAAGTTAGTGGTGCAATACTGGAAAGGACACCAACCACACCGTATGCAGAGCTAGGTCTCAGTCTTTAACTGTATTGTACAGCAAGTTAGTGGTGTTGTACAGGACAGGACACCAAACACAATGTCTGCAGAGCTAGGTCGCATTCTTTAACTGTATTGCAGAGGAAGTTAGTGGGGTCATACTGGAACTGACACCAAACGCAAAGTATGCAGAGCTAGGTCACAGTCTTTAACTATATTGCAGAGCAAGTTAGTGGAGTTATACTGGAACTGACACCAAACTCAATGTATGCAGAGCTAGGTAGCAGTCTTTGACTATATTGTAGAGCAAGTTACTGGTGCAATACTGGAAAGGACATCAAACACAATGTATACAGAGCTAGGTCGCAGTCTTTTACTGTATTGCAGAGCAAATTAGTGGTGTAATACTGTAAAGGACACCAAACACAAGGTATGCAGAGCTAGGTCTCAGTCTTTAACTGTATTGTACAGCAAGTTAGTGGTGTTATGCTGGAACTGACACCAAATACAAAGTATGCAGAGCTAGGTAGCAGTCTTTGACTATATTGTAGAGCAAGTTATTGGTGTAGTACTGGAAAGGACACCAACCACACCGTATGCAGAGCTAGGTCTCAGTCTTTAACTGTATTGTAGATCAAGTTAGTGGTGTTATGCTGGAACTGACACCAAACCCAAAGTATGCAGAGCTAGGTAGCAGTCTTTGACTATATCGTAGAGCAAGTTAGTGGTGTGATACTGGAAAGGACACCAACCACACCGTATGCAGAGCTAGGTCTCAGTCTTTAACTGTATTGTAGATCAAGTTAGTGGTGTTATGCTGGAACTGACACCAAACCCAAAGTATGCAGAGCTAGGTAGCAGTCTTTGACTATATTGTAGAGCAAGTTATTGGTGTAGTACTGGAAAGGACACCAAACACAATGTATGCAGAGCTAGGTCACAGTCTTTAACTATATTGCAGAGCAAGTTAGTGGTGTAATACTGGAACTGACACCAAACACAATGTAAGCAGAGCTAGGTCGCAGTCTGTAACTGTATTGTAAAGCCAGTTAGTGGTGTTGTACAGGAAAGGACCCCAAACACAATGTATGCAGAGCTAGGTCGCAGTCTGTAACTGTATTGTAAAGCAACTAGGTCGCAGTCTTTAACTGTATTGCAGAGCAATTTAGTGGTGTTATACTGGAACTGACACAAAACACAATGTATGCAGAGCTAGGTCGCAGTCGTTAACTGTATTGCAGAGCAAGTTAGTGGGGTTATACTGGAACTGACACCAAACACAATGTATACAGAGCTAGGTCGCAGTCTTTAACTGTAATGTAGAGCAAGTTAGTGGTGTTATACTGGAACTGACACCAAACACAATGTAAGCAGAGCTAGGTCGCAGTCTGTAACTGTATTGTAAAGCAAGTTAGTGGTGTTGTACAGGAAAGGACACCAAACACAATGTATGCAGAGCTAGGTCGCAGTCTTTAACTGTATTGCAGAGCAAGTTAGTGGTGTTATACTGGAAAGGACACCAAACACAATGTATGCAGAGCTAGGTGCAGTCTTTAACTGTATTGTAGAGCAAGTTAGTGGTGTTATACTGGAACTGACACCAAACACAATGTATGCATAGCATGGTAACCAGAATAGACACCAAGAACCATGTATACAAAGTAGGATATATGCATTAAACAAGAAAAGATGTCTATTGGTAATGTATGTAAAAATAGTTGCTGACCCAATTCCTGAGAACTAACAGGTAGGATACTTTCCCGAGAACTAACAGGTAAAATACTTCCTTTATTTCAGACAAATTTTCACAACTTTACGAATAATTGAAATGTTTAGATTAACCGAACACGAAGAAAATTTGTAATGGGTAGGATACATTCCTAAGAACTAACTGACATAGCAGCACAACTTGAATCCACTTACTCAGGATTTGTTTGCTATGTTGATTTTTTATACGGTGCCAAAAATAGCCCACCATCGAGTTGAAATTTGTGCACAAGTAACATTACAGACCTTTAGACACGAGATAAAACTTGGCATGCATGAGCTGCTATAACAAGGTAATTGGGATCCCTACACATTACCAGCCTTATCTACCGGCTTACAACACATATCTTCCTCAAGGCTCCAGATCAAATCTCTGTTCCCTGAATATTCAAAATCCTTCTAGATACTCATCTTTTTTTATACCAATATTTTGAATCCAAATTTATCGTAGCATCTGTGGGCAATCATCAAATGTTTATGTATATTGCAGACATTTGATGTGTACATCACCCTCACTGGCGATAGGATCAGCCAAACCTTGCCATATTATCTCCCCACGGCTTCTTATCTAGAATATATGCTAATTCTGCTTGATTAAAATAATGCTCATGTTGTGTGTTATGCGTCATTTCTCACTTACAGTCTACTAGATTTTCAGTAACTGTTTTATTTCTATAAGATTACATTTTATTGATTATGCTAAAACCTTTACTGTTAAGAAATTGATTTTACCAACAAAAACTTACTGACCTGAAGAGGTTTTCACCACCTAAACTGCATGATTATTTTGCCAAACCCTAATACAAACTCTGTGTTGATAAATATCTACTGAAGTCATCATTATTATTAGCATTTCCGATAGTGAGAAACGCAGACATGTCTTTCTGTAATACTCTGGTACACAAATACTGTAAAAGCCGACATTCAATGGGGCAGTTGTAATTTATCAGGTCTACCTTACCATTCTACAACATGAATCATCTTGACAGAACTTTGAGAAGAATTTCAAAATGATTTCCTTTTATATGACATTTCCTTTAAAATTGTATATTTGATCTTTAGAAAGAAAAGAAAAAAAAGTTGAATATGTGTTTGACCTGCGAGACCGAAATTCATGTTAAATTTTGTTTTAATGATTTGGAAATACAAATGTAATTAAGGCATGACATATGAAAAGTGAGTCATTGATCAGGGGATAAGGTGTTGAGTGAAAGTAGTTCAGGGACGACTCTGTCAGCAGCAGGCATCCATCAGACATCCTACATATCATTGCCCTACAATTACACTTCAGCCTTGAACACAGCAAATTCTGACAAATGGCCACACAAACAGCAGCAAATGAAACACACAAGACTGCTTCATTGATTTCTAATTATTTTTCAGTGTTAATCAACCTGTTTTAATGACGTGTTGAAATATAAATGAGATACCAGGAAACTAAGGGAAGCGACAGATTAAAAAGATGAAGATGAGAATTGGATGTAGAGGAGAATGGCATGCTCTAGCTCTTTCAAAAGATATTCCTTATGATTAGAACAAGCATGCGAGATGATTATCCTATCTTTATTGAAAGCTATTATGATAAAATCTTATCCATCATCTACATAGCTGGTATGCATGACTTAACTGTACACAAAATATATCTGTTTCATCAGATGTAGTCAGACAGATGCCCTATAGTACCAATACTGTGTTACAAGTTATCACTAACACCAAGTGAACTTTTTATCAAGATGTAAGAATAAATTGTGATGTAATCTTTATTAATCTCTTTCTTATTATCACATTCACTACAGTGTAGCATAGGCTACAGTAGAGATAAAATGACATCATACAGGGCAACAGAAAGGGATACTGGGCATTTGTAATAGGAAGCAGGGCAATAAAGCAAACACAGGGCATCAGATTGGGATACAAAGATAGAAAGCAACACAGAGGGGAACAAGAGAATGGAGGGGACCAGGGCAACTCGGGAGGATATAGGGCATGGAGAAAACACAGGGCAAAACAGGAGAAATATGGCTACAGAGGAGAAAAAAGTTGATGAAGGGAATATACAGGGATATACAAGTTGAGGAGGAGCAAAAGTCAACTGATTGGGGGGGGGGCACAGTACATTGAGGGGATTCAAGGAAATACAAGAAAGGGGTAAACACAGGGTACAAGGGCACATAAATGTTAAGACTAGGAGATGGGTATAAGGCATGGTACAGAGGAGAAGTGTTGCATGGTACAGAGGAGAAGTGTCATATGCACCAATGACAGGGTACAGGGCAGCAGATGGATGGATGCCTTGGGATAGGTACACAATAGGCAACAGAGCAATGCAGACCAAGGTAAGAGTGTATAATAATGACAATAAGAAGGTAACAGACAGGGACAGAGGACGCAGAAGGTACAGGTCATCAGATGGTTCACTGGGCAACAGAAGACAAAGAGGGGTTCATTATATATTACACTGGAACCTTGTAGGTCAATATGGAGGCAGACCAGTGGATGTATATGATACAGTACAGAAGGGATTGTAGCAAGGGAAGAGTGTTGGTAGGGGAAGTCAAAATGTTGGTAACTCAGAAGGACGTAGCACCAGACAAGGTGAGACACTATCAGTACAGTGGTATAAACAAAACAAAGTCAGGCCCTATTTATATAACAGTACAGGTATAAACAGTCTGGGAGTTTGTGTTTCACTGATCGTCAATAAAAAATAACCGGAAGCTATCCCTTTTGGGAACTAGTGTTTTTAATTTGAATGGATGATGCATAGAGTTAGATAATTTGATAATCATGTTTCTAATTACGGCAAGCATATCAGCAGCAACATAACACACCACATAGCAGGCACGCCACAGTATCTTATGTGCATGCTTACAAACCCTCCAAACGATGCAGCACAACCAATACTGGCATGCCATCAAACTATAAAAAGAAAACGCAGTTTGAGCTAAGGAGAAATGGAAGAAAATTGATACAGAAGCCACAGGAATGTACAAAATCAGTCCTAAAATCGACAAAAAGGAAGAAATTATGAAACAGAAGAAGTTTATTAGATTTTCCAACTGACACAATTACCATACGAGCCACCATCAGGCCGATACCAAATCAATGTACTTGGTTATTAAATTATCTAGCCAGACAAGGCAAATATGTGGTGTTGTGGGGTTCTGTGATGACGGCCATCAGGGCCAGAGGTTACAGGCACAGTGTTCACTCACTCATGCCTGGCTGTCCTCTCCACTCCACCAGGTTGTGATATTGATTTTTTGACAACACTAGATCAAACAGACCCCTTGTCACCCCCAGTTTGGATTCCTGCTAGCAGTTACATTACACATCATTATCCCAATGAACAGAGTGAAGCAACTGAAGGAGATTGACAGCCCTCTAACAGGGGTTCAGAACGGGTTATATTTTATCTATAAAAAACAATGACTTTGTTTTAGTAGTGGTGTGATACAAGACTTGTGTAAAAGTACATAAAAGAGGGACCCCCACCCTGTTGGCAAGTAGTGTTAACTCTTTCAGCCCCAACACTGTTTACTGATAGTAGTGCCCCAGCACCCGATGAGGCTGGCTAGGGCTGGCTAGGGCCCAGGCCCTAATTGACCAGCTACACTGGCCAGTGGTCTGAGATGGGGTAGTTACATTAAAACACTCATAATGCTGATTTACATTTCTTTTTTTATAATTACATTTTTGAAATAGAATAATAAATAAATAAATTGAGAAATAATTAATACAAACATTATGAGCACATAAAGAGGCTATATAATGACAATGCCATGCAAATGTAAATAATAAAACTCTCAACATAGTGTAGTAAACAAGTCATAGCAGCAGTCAAACACACCAGACAGGGCTGTGACAACTACATCAGGTCACATAGCTCTGCACTACCTAACAAAAACAGGACCAGAAATAAAAGTAAATTATAAACAGTACTAGGTGTCTAAGTTTGGCATCTTGACCTAGACATGATCTATCAATACGCAGCACCTTGTGTAAACACACAATACACTGAGGAGACAACACCTAACAACCAGAACATATGCTACTGTACACATGCCACAGCAGACAAGCCCTAAAGTACAGGGGTACCCTTAGCTCTCTCCGTCTCGATGATTCACTACTCTGTGTGCAATGTGGTCCTAAAAAATATTTATCCATTTCCATGTATTGACAAAGGAAAAATGCAATATACAAGGTGTGAGGATTAGGGCTATGTAAATTCAGGTATGAAGTACATGTCTCTCAGACACCCCTGCGCCCCCTTTCCAAACTCTTTATCAACAGCATATCCTTAGACCGCTCCCAGTCAATGCTGATGTGTCATGTCCCCAAGCCTCTGTCTGTCTACAATCTGATGGTGCTAAGACGGTATCATTTTGAAGTCTCTTGATCCCAATGAGATCCATTATAACAGTATTGTCAATATACTCCCCCCCCCCCCAACCATGTAAGGTTTACTACCCCCTCCCCCCAACCTTTCCTGTTAACTACACCATCCCCAATTCCTTTGCACTAACCACTGATCTGAATCCCTTCTCTTCGTTTAAATATCTTGATCCCAATGAGATCCATTATTATGGTATTGTCAATATTTAGACTTAGGTTCACTATTTATTCCCCCCCCCCCAACCATGTAAGGTTTACTATCCCCTCCCCCGCAACCTTTCCTGTTAACTACACCATCCCCAATTCCTTGCATCACCCAACCCACAACCCCTCCCATTATCTTTCGATTCACCAAGGAACCCCCTACTTTCTTTCATCTTCAATATATTGATTTAAGATGAGAAACTCTTGTTAAGAACCAGAACAATAATCAGGTAGATTTCCCCTTGGTATTTCCAATGGCTTCTCTATGTCCGAGTATAAGAGCATCAACCTTCCTAATCCCCAGCTATAAAACCAACCCAGAAAGAAACACAATGTCTCTCTGACATTTCCACAATTTATAATCACATTCTTTCTCCTCAATCCCATTAACACCTTACAAGAGGGCAATTTAGAATTCAACAGTTTTGGTATGTAAAGATTAGTGTATTCCCTGTTGAGCCCTTGCCATTCCAATCCCATTATTTGGTACATCCTTGGGATCATCATGGCTCCATTCTGTGCCTATAGAGCCACTTGAGGTTGTTGTTGGCCCCTCTACCCTCAGGGGCCCCAGCCATGGCGCAGACATAACCCCATAATGAAGAATGTTTTTTATGGGCCACAAGCAGGCAGACTGAGAATCAATACCTTGTGCGCATCAGGCTCACAAAACACCATAATAAATGGTCTGGTACAGAAAATCAATTCAACTTGGTCCTATGATTACAAGGGCTGCTATCCAAGGAGGGCTGCTCATCATTCAGGTCACCCAGGCATTGTGAGCTCCTTACAATAATGCAAGTGAGTCCTAGAGCCTTTGTATTAATATGCTAATAAGACTGTCCTAGGGGGCCAATACACAATGAGACATCTCCCATGGAACAATGACCCAGTTTGTCCAAAATGCTTAAACTGAAAATTCATATTCTCTTGGGGTT